GCCGAAGGCGGGCTAAATGGTTGCAGAATGATGACGTGTGACGGATGATGGGGCGTGGGTAACGCGCATGTGTAGTACTTATTCATTTAACTTGCCCAAAACTAAGTTTTCAACGTATTTTGCATCATTACAATAAGAAAAGTCAGTGGTGAAGAGAACGATGATGATGATGATGATGATGCCCTTTTCTAAATGCTATTTAGTTTTATCTGTTATTCTGTACAAAGTTATACACGGGGAATTTTCGTATCTAATGACAAATCTGAAAAATTAAGTTATGTCAGATAAAATATTTAACTAAAACGATCATTAATATGAAAGTAGGTCTTAGTTCTCTCTCTCTCTCTCTCTCTCTCTTCATCTGCTTTTTCTAAAAGTTGATTGATTGTAACGAACAGATTCCTCTTTAGGGGTGTCACTCGAACTTCTGTTAAAGACAGATAAAAATTCCCTCCTCGCCCTATTTTCTATAAACGTAGAGGATTACCTCCATCGTTATCTACCATTTTTTCCGATAGACTTTTTTCGTACTTGGGGAATTTTATATCTCGATTCTTGGTCCGTTAGCCAATGTTATGCTTTAATTGATGCGAAAGTGTCCCAGAGGTAATTTTTCATATTCTAAGTTTAAATTTAAAAAAAAAACGAAAATTATTAAAGAATATGAGAAATATCCTTTTTTTTGTACTCTTTTTGTAATAGCCGGAAAACCAAAATTGTTCACGTAAAATGGTACAAGAAGCAATAACTATAATTTTCGTCTCAATCACATCAAATGGCATTTACCAAGTAAAGAATCTAAACAAAAGAATGTGGAAAAGAAGATGGAGTCACCGGCAATGTATGAAGCTTTCGTTTTTCTCAACGCTTCAAATATGGCATTTAGAGAAAAAAAAAAAAAGAAAAATGGAGCAGAAGGGTAGAGAAGATAAAAACGAAAAGTGGCTTCGATTTCCCGTCATCCGCCACAGTCACGCTCGCTGGTGTCAGTGTAACTAAGTATTACTTCCCTCCATTCACCCCTCCGAACTCAGTGGACCGGTTGATTTAAGCCATTATTGGTGATGCATTGACTCCACCAAAGCTATGTGTGCTCAGTTTTTCACTCAAGACGTTTTTCAGATCAGAACGGATAGAAAAAAAAGAGGGGGATATATATATATATATATGCGAAAGAAAATATCTTTCTCGTGTCACTTCTTAATACCTTGACCAACTTTAGAAACTAGATTTTACTAAATAAATATCTATATTATTTTTAAATACCTTCTAAATAGTGTTTATTATCATAGGAACTTCTTTTTTTTTTTTCAATGTTCTTAATGATGATCTGTTTTATTTATATAATACTTTAAGTATGAGTCATGTAATAATAATTATAGTTTTTAAACAAAGATCATGTTTGAGAAAAAGCAGACAAAACAAAACATCAGCTACCGGATGTACTATTTCATTAAACCTCTAGTACAGGAGATACACCTATATACGGTTCGCAATTAGAGAAACAGGAAATTCGACCCGACAGATATGATTTGTCTGTACATCCTCTATATCTAGATGGTGATGATAAATCTATTTGTTTAACATGATAGCCGGAATTAAACGGAAATGTTTAAATGCATAGAGAAAGCTTTGGTTTTTTTTTTTCATTGTTTTACATAAGTAAATTTTGGGGGTTTAGTCTCTCATCTTTTCTGATTAACTTCAACATCGATATGTCGTTTTTAACGGAGGAAAATGGATATAGTTCTAGAGCCTATTGTATAACGCGCATCCTGATGAATACAACGTTGCAGTAGCGGTGATGGTGTTACGCTTGGGGTGGCATGTGGCAGTCACGCACTGCTGATTTTTAATTATCCATCGCTTCTATTTTTTTTTTTTACCCCTTAATATCTGTAGTTCACCCGGGCGCTATTTCTGACTATCAAATTACATTAATGTCTTCGAGGGAATTTGGTCAAAACTGACATTTTGCTGATAGTAAAAGAATTCTTCCTCTATCCTAGACGATAAGCAAATTGAAGTAGGTTGTAACTTTATTCATTTTTTTGTTATTTTTCTGATGGGGCTTCGGAAAAAATACTTAATGCGATATTTTAATAGAGGATAGGAGTATATATTGCAAATTAGAAAAAGGTTTTTATATCGTTGTCTCAGTAAATATTCCAGCGAATGAAGACGAAAGTGGGTTATTAACATGTTATTGCTTTAGAAGGATGATTCTTATCTTCTTCTTCTTTTTTTTTTTTTATTAAGGAAGAAATTAGTCTACTCCCCATGCGACATCAATAGTATGGAAATAAGGTGCTACTTTTAGTTCCGTCGAAAAATCGATATAAAGGTAGCTTGTGCAGACTGTCGCCAACCTGCATCCCATCACCAGAAAACGTACGAAATTTGAAATGCATTCATTTACAGAGCATGCTCCCTTTTCAGTTTGGCTTTCGGGTACGCTTTTCTGTCATTCGAAAAAAAGGTATTTGCATATCTGTAAATCTAATAAACCCCCGTAGTAGACTGATATCCTGAAGGATATACACATCTGTAGGGCAGAGAGAAGATTCTTCCCTGCTCCTTTTCCCAACTAGATTACTCTTGCAGAGTATGTGACTGAAGAAAATTAAATTCGCTTTCTGATCTATACAAGAAAATGAAGTTTATATTCGGAGATGATAGCAAATATTCTTTTTCTATGTATATATTCGCGTTGTTGTATACGGGTATATGTGAGTTTTAGTGTATGGTATAACTGGTAAACTATCTAGAATGAAATTTAAGAAATGTATGATATTTTTATATCCGATAAACTTAATCTAATCAATATTAAACTTTATCCAAATTAAACTTTATCGTGTTTCCACTAACTTATGCTATTATAGATAGATTTTTCTCAAAGTTCATTCGGATAGAAAACAGCTTATGTCAGAAAAACCATGGAGAGGGAAGTAAATGAAATTAAAACGACAAGATTCTTACGATGTTTCGATATTCAGAAAATAAAATTAAAGGAGTACTATCTAAAAAGAAATGAGGGAAGCTACGGCTAAAACATCACGTCTTCCCAGTTTGCTAAAGCAAAAGTCATTTATCGAAAGCATTTCTGAGTGCGATAATGTAACTACTCCTCTGCATTTTCTGTTAATTGGCTAATTTTTCAGGTGTCGTGAGTCAACTTGTCCAATTTACTAATAAACATGTTGATATATAATACATTTACCTACAGCTTTTTCGCACTAGTTATAAATATATACTTTTATCCTCTTCCCTCTCTCTCTCTCGTCTTAGTTTTACAAATTGGACATCCAACCCTAAGTATAATTTATTGTTTTTAATGGGATTTATTATTATTTTTTTTCTTTTCGTTTTGCAACAAAACTTAGCAATTATATTTTAAATAATTGTTTAATTAATTAATATCTATCGAGCAATTGAATTAAATACGATGACAACTTTAATTTTCTACAAAAATTTGTTTGCAATTTGGTCTCTATGACTACTAGATTGAGATTGATGTTTCTACTGTATTACTCTGTGTTGTTTTATGAGGTATCTACTACATCAGTACGAATAAACAATGTTTGAGGAAAATAATTTGTTACTACAACAGCATAAACAGTAGAAAGTTAGAGTGTGGAGTGGACCGGTATATATACACATCCAGATCATTAATTTTGCTAGGTGTTCGCGCCGAAGGGTCACACCCAAACACGACTAAGTCGTTAATATTTACCGTCTTGATCATTTATTGTATCCGAACATAATAGTAGGAAAACGACTCATCCCATTAGTCACCGGGTAATTTTATCCAATGCTTAGAGTTTTATAATTCAATAATAATAATTGTTAGTGGTCAACACGTTTTATTTACACAGAAATCCGAATGTTCTTTAATAAATTACCACGGAACAAATCTTTTTTTATTCTTTGTTATAAATAGACTTTCAGAAGTTGTCACGAAAATTGCGTGATTGAAACCATTGACAAACGGTCGACTTCTCGACTGAAGGGAGCCAAATTTTATGAATGGTTCTGCCTTCGTTTTTCCCTATTTGTGTTTAATGAAACCCTCTTATATAGTCATATATACAATATATATATATATTTCGCTTCTCACGCTATTTCGAGTCGGCTCTCTTCTTGTTACATTGGAAATAAATATCTAAACGTATATTCCGAATCGGTCATGGAATATTTATGAATGGCACAATGGTAGATTTGCGTGTAGTTTTATCATTTCGCCCCCCTTCTTTGTTGGCTTTCTGTTGAATGGGAAACGTTGATTGGGTCCTCCCTTTTTACCAAGGTTGACTCATCTTTTGACCAGCATTTTTACTTGATTGGCTCGCTTTTAATAATATACAAGAGATTATTACGAAGGGGGAGATCGTTTGAAGCTTTTTCTACTTAATAATCATTGTTCGATTATTGGCGAGAAACGATTTTTCTTATTGTTAATATATGTAATTTTTTTTTTCAAAGCTCGATGAACTTATTCTTTTCATTTAACACGTATTGAACAGATTATCATATTTGTTACAGCTGTAATGAATAGAAAACGTTTCAATTATGTGAAATATTTCTCGGAATTATTTTAGTAAATAAATGAGTAATACGTGAAAAATTATTCATTTCTTTATCAAGTTTATTCACGCCTTGAATAATTGAATCGTCATTTGTTACAGGTAAAATTAACAAATCGAATTCGTTTACTTTCTATTTCAATTGATGATTCGTTTATTAAAATTGATTGAAATTAAAATACAGGAAGAAATTTGGATAAAAAATATATTCATTTTTAAGCACTGGTCTCATTATATTTCCCTAAATTTTACCTCAAAAAGAAAGAAAGATAGAGAGAGAGAGAGTGGGCAGGATCTTAATTGGAAACAATTGGAGCGTTATTTAAGGAAAATCATTTTTCGTAGAAAGCGTGTTCTACTTAATATGCTCATCGAGATACTTTATAATGAGTTCTAATCAGTCGTTCATTATTCCAGACACAAGAAGAAAGTCCAGAATTTCTTGCCATGCAAGGATGACCACCAAGGACGATGTGACCTGGCAGGATCAAACGGGGTCACGTACGACGATGTACTGATCAACCACCATCCTACACGACTACCACCTCATCACACAGTACCAGACTCTCAAACACTAACTCCAATAGAGGTGAGTCGGAAAATAATTTAATTATAGCTATTATAATAACTTTCCCCTTTCTTTCGAACTTCTCTACTAACGTATTACGCGTCACGATTTTCTCTCGGTTTAATTGATGCTTTTTTTTTCTTCTTCTTCTTTCTTGACTTCATTTTGGAGCGCTCTCAACCTTATTATTTTTAATAACAATGAAAGTTACCAATATGGAGACTTAATATGGCCTTGAATTTTCAATGTAAATCACATTTTATATAACTAAAATAACGTGAGATTTTCTCATTTTATACTTTTCTAGTAATTCCACGCTCTAATCTTACATTATGAGCAGCTGTTATTACTTAGATTATTATAGGAAATATGCAGATTATTTAAACATGCTTAGAGAAAAGAAGTAGTTTATATAGCTAAGAAATAACTATTTTAATTTAATATAACACTAATAAAGGAGAGTAGTATTTTTCATGGTTGATATGTGATCATATAGGCCTATATACGTAATACAGTCGATCCCTCTATAACACTGTTGATAATTCCGTTTTATATGAATTCCATGTTGTACGAGTCAATTAGATTTCACATATACGTGAGCCGTTCACAGCCCGGCACACATATTTGTAAAATCTAAGTGACTCGTACAACATGGAATTCATATAAAACGGAATTATGGGGGAGGTCCACTGTATAAAGGTAGATGAATGGCATGTTTGAGTCTTAAACACTGTTCTTTAATCTTAGAATATAATATAAACAATAACACGTATTTGTGAATTAAATATTAGACTAACTTTCTAAAGTTTTAAAGATAATTATAAACAAGAAGATTTAATTGTGTGTTGATTTAAGTATGTTTGTCTTAAGCTTTCTACTATAAGAAACTTATCTACTGTATAAAATTACATCGTAAGAACTTTTAGTAAATTAAATTTATTGGTAACAAAGAAGAAAACTTAATGAATTAGAAAAATATTATTAAGATAATTTATTCAATTAAGAAAATTTAATATCATTTTCGTTAATTGACAGCAGATTATAAATCAAAATGAATTATTTGGTAAAGAGTAAAAGAAATATGGATTATAATACAATATAAATTTTATTTATATAATAAGTTTTGAAATATTTAATCTGTATTGCGCTATTAGACCGTTTACGTAATTAAAAATTAAAAGGTTTGATGACTCTGGGGGGATTTCCCTTCGAAGAAAATTGAATGCGGGGATTACCCTACATATATAATTTTTTTTTTTAAAATTCTTTTGCCTTGTTTGACTATTGTCTATGTATATAATTAAATGGAAATAGTAGTTTTGTGTACGGGTTAACTGCCATTTCGTGAAGAAGAAATTATAGAATTTCACCGAGTTTACACACTCGAAAATTTTCGCATAGAGTTGCATTATTTTAAACCTATAATTATCTCTTTATACACGTAAAAAAAAAAATAATTATAATTATAATATGCTTTCTAGTAGCTACAATATAAGTTTTCCCACGCTATTGATACAGGATACAAAATTCGTTATATTACTGCTCTTTCGGCGTATTAACGAAGGGTTTCTTTTATGGGTTCTTTTTACGAGTTCTTCCCTACTGCTAAGCTACCAACACAACGTCCATTTGCAGATTATCTTTTCCTTTAAAGTTGCAACTACAGATTATACACACTATATGACGTCATCACCTGTGGGTGAAAACGTTGCGAGATTAGAATTGGGTTGCATTGTTAAGTAGAAAAGTCTCACCCCCGACATTACGAATTCTCACTTTATAGCTCCCTAGATGTTACTGGCATAGAGTTGTGATAAGTTTTACAACTTTTGCCGCTAGCCAGGTGGTTAAGAGATAGAGTAAAAGGTGAACTACACTCGCAGCTTCTTCCTTGTTGTGTTTTTTACAGATTGTAAATAGCTATGTTGAGACCGCGATATGTTTAAAGAAGGATTGATGAGGAAGAAAACGTTAAACTTATCCTATCTCGATACTACCTTTGAAATATATTAAAAGCCGCTTTTGCCGTATTTATAATTCGTACAATTACTTTTTAGATTATTTATTCATTACGCCTATTAGATAACATGCGCCTATTTAAATAATAATAATAAAACTCGCCCATACATTTTCATGAGGAACATTTCCATTTGTTTCTTTACCTCGACTATACAAAAGAAAATTTACACAAGGATTATCTATAATTGCAATAAAAATTGAAGCCTTTTTTGTTTTTTTAATTATATCTTTTCTTATCTAACAATTATTTTAATTTAAATAATTACTACTAATTTATAAATCGTTGAAGAATATTTTAAGTAGATTCTATTTATTATGTAAATCAGAATTACAGTTGTTCTAATTATTTTACTTTTTTCTTCTTCGAGTAATTCGGATTTTTCATCTCTTTCTCTTACTCTTCTGAGAATTTAAATATGATAATTATAATGAATTAAATTAATTTAAAAATATGTAAATCTGTTAAAAATGAAGAGGAAAATATCTACAGGATGATCATTTTTCTGATGTGTATTGATGTGTATTATATTGAAGAAGATAAAAAAAAAATTGGAATTGGTTTCATCTCTAAAACAATATAGAAGGGATGAAATGTTAGTTTTCAACATTAAATGGTAGATTAAAACTGACCTTTTTTTCCTTTATTGAAAGAACAGATTTTCTTTTATTATAAAAGACAAACTCTTAAGGTTTTCTATGGTCCAGCTTTCTGCTTAGACTATAAACTCTCGTTATGACATTTCAAGCAGATTTATAGGTAATATAGATTTTTCTTTTTTCATTATTCATATTGGCAAAGTTGCAAAAATTGCTTGTGTGATCGTTTTAATATCTTTAAGTATCATATATTTTTAAAATGATTTCAATCTTTGAGCTGTTACTAATAAAATTTTATCACTGGAAAATATGGGGGAAAGAAGTTTTAGTGCAAAATTTATTAGTAAAGATATCATTTTGCATAAGTTGAATTTCATATAAGTGAAGGCAGAGAATGTAACTGGAGCCAAGAAATACAACGTGTCCTTTATACTAATTTTCTCTCCCTCTTTTAGCGAATAAAAACGTAAAGATTTTAATGTTTGTTAGTAAAAATAATATTAATTTTAATCACATAAAAATTCTAAAATAAAATATTTAATCCATAAGTTTTAAAACACTTTAAGAGTTCATTAAAATTCTAAACTACAGTGAGAAAATTATCGTACCGTCAGTCGAATACGAATAATATATCAGACAATTTTGTTTAATGGAAAATAGAATAATATTATTTCGCTATTTTAAATTATAGAATATAAAAATTTGACTTTTGAGTCAAATTATCAAGTGCAGAGAATGACATATTCGTAGTAAATTGTTAACAATAATTAAATTTGGCGATGATATCTTCTCAGAATACATAAATACCTTTGATAGCCTGTAATGTGAACTTACCATGTGCTTTCAATTAAGTCATAATAATAATGCAGTTAACCGCTAGCTTCTGTTACTTTTATTATTTTTTTTCCATAAAGTAGAAAATAATCGTAAGCAGCTGTAAAACTGACAGAATTGGAAGCGCGACTCTTGTTGAAACTTGAATTACGTTAGGTCTTAAATGATTTATTTATATATTTATTCTTCTTTCCTCTCTCAAACTGGATACTTATCCTTTAGAAAAAAAAGGAATCCGCTCTAAAAAAAAAAAAACTAGCATTCCATTCATATTTAGATGATAAATCTCTTCTAAATCGAGAAGACTGTAGTAAAAATAATAATAAAAGAGATGTTTTAACACTTGCGATTTCAATATATTTAAATTGTAAAAAGTGTAAAGTAGCCATATATAAGAGGTAGTCATGCGTGTTGGTATTTCAACTTGGTTGAGAGTGTTGGACACCCCTCTTATAGCGTCAGGACATTTTGACAATTCCAAAGCCGTACAGCTCCATTGTTAATGGATGTGTTGGGTACATAATTTCCTCTAATGGCACAGTAATTTTCAGTCTATAGTACCCACTGCACGTGATGAACTGTGTGTGAAATTTGTCTTCTGTCTTCTTTTCTCCCTTGTTCCCTCCCCGCTTGTCTGTACAGTCCATTAACTATATGGGGACATTGTGTTCATAATAAGAGGACACAAAAGACCAACATTGATATAAAACCCATAAGGATTACAAATCAAAATTCCAACAATGAAAAATAAAAACTTGCTTCTGAATTTTTTTTTCTTAAAGTAATTAAAATTTGAAAAGGTTGATAATTAATAATTTTACATTGAAACTAAATAACTTTACTCTGAAAATATCCTTCGAGTTTAATATTCATTCTCTTTAGAGGGAATATTTTAAAAGTTTCCAACATCTAACCTATATTTTAAAGAGCTTCTTTCTACTCTACTAATAATATTAATAAGATATTTTAAGTAGTAAAAAAAAAGGGTTCATTTGTTTCTAGATTAATATTCTTTGCATTCCGTTTTACATCGAGTTGATGTTTAATGGTGAATTAACATTTTTAAAAAATTCATATCTGTCTACTAATTTCTTAATGCATTTTGCAGACTTGGGAATATATTAGTGTTGATGAAAACATTGGCGATGGCATTTTATCTTCATTAGAATTCTTAATTTTTAATATGAAAACTTTTAGCATAGTTGAAAAGATGGAGGGGCCGAAGTTGGATACGTTTAATACAGACGGAATTGCATACCATTTTGCAATTAAATCCGTTGAAACTTCTTCATAAAGATCGTTAAGAATTCTTCGATTTTTGATGAATCTTTTTACTATCTTTTTCTCAATAGAGCGAAGCGAAGTCCATTAACAATATTGCTTCCTTTCAACTAGAAAAGGACAGTCGGCGGTTGAGTGGGAAATCTAATCACATTTTTTTTTCTCTTTCTCTCTCTCTCTCTCTCTTTCCTTCCTCTTTTCCTTCCCATCTACTAACCTTCCTCACCAACTGTCGTTTGAAAAATGACTCCGTCTGTTTGTATGGTAGAGTAAGGGTATCTTAGTTTGGCGAGGGTAGAGTTCGCACACCTTCTTAGAGGTCTGCTGTCAGGACAGAATCAATTTCACGTGCCATCGGTCACGTGGGGAAAGTGTAAGGTTGCTATGACGACACAAAATTGACAAACTCCGTAGCTGAGCCCTTCTCCTGCCGAGTTTTGTCCCGAGTCTATTACAAGCTCGCTTTAGAAGTTTGAGTATCTTTCCTTCGAGTGTTTGTCGACGATAAGGCTCTTTCCGATGCACGCGAGTTCTTCAACTCCCTTTCTATTCCACTTTTTTTCTTTTTTTTCCTTTGACGTCACTCAGATTAAATTCACTTAGAGGAAACCCGAAAAAAACTTTTCGTCGATAACTTCAATAACGCGGAAATGGTTTATTTTCAGCCTAAACCGAATTTGAAGAAGTTTCTGTTCTGTGTTATACTTGCTCAAGGAGTTAATTTCCACAGTTCTAATTTAAAGGGAATATTTTCTCAAATTATTTCCACTTGATGGTTATATTTTCTTTATCATTTAATTCCAGTGATTAATTTCAGATTGCTTTTACGCTTCGAGTGATGTCCTGCCGAATTGCTCTTTTAATAATCGACTAGGAATGGAGTCGGAAAAAATTATTTTCAACTCTTAATTGCGTCCTTAACCAGAAATTCTATCATTCGTTGCCCGATTAAATTTCTTGGGGCCTTCCTTCCGGGTTTAGGAAATGCGTGGATAATTCATTCCATATGTTTGTCTCCAATTTTGACTTCATCAGCATTTTCCTAAACTAGAAATATCTCTATTTGCAAAATTCTTTTAACAATTATCTAACTTTTTCTTTTCTCTTTTTTTTATAGTTGCTGGAAGTAAAGTACGATAATTTTGGACCTACTCATCTGATCCCGTTAAGGCAAGGAAATTTTTATCCCCATCATCCTCATACTCATCATCATCATTCCGAACAACGAGGAAGATCTAAGAAGAATAAAGATCACTTTAATCCTATCTACGAAGAAGTGTCTGGTGGTTCCGAAGAAAGAGCAGACATTCGTAGCTATAATTCGGACGTGGAAGATAGCGAAGCCGAAGGGAGAACTATGGACAGTGAGGATGACTTTGCGGAAGACGAACTAAGTTTAGCGAGAGAAGATGGTAGCAGACCTTGTTCTGGAACTAGCAGTATTAGGGGATCTACTGGTGGAGATCTGTGCAGGGATGTGGGGTCAAGTGATGGAGAAGGAGGTGCCAGCGAAGACGGAGGAGCAGTGAGAGGATCCAGAGGTCTGTACAGAAGTAATTCGGGTCACGATACGTGTAAACACACGCAGTCTCTAGAAAGAAATAAAGATGGGCATTCGAGTGACAGCTTTCAAGCCAAACAAAATTATTATATGAGTAAAGGGATGTTGGGACCAGATTTAGCTTATCCCGACTTTGACAGAACGTCCAATGTACCATCTAGGATGTGCCATCCAGAAGAAGAAATGACTAATCCTTTGGACATTTCGGACCATCCAAATTCATATCCACAGCCTACCAATTCAAATCTGTCCCCAGTTTCTCCTCTCGGTGGATATACAAGAAATTCTCCTCCTCCCCCTCCATATGTTCCGGGATTGACGTCACCAAGGCTATCTTCTCAGCCGTCCCGACGCAGACCTGTGCCACAATTTAGTACATTCCACCCAAAACTCCAACCCCAAGGATCCAACCCTCTTTCTCCTCTTTCTCCTGCAGAAAATATCTATTCGACAATAGACGACGAAGAGGACACTGAACCACAACAACAACCATCTAGTCAAAAGCATCTTGTGCCAACAGACAAGGAGCTACCGGAAGAACCGGAACCTTATGGGGATATTCGACCGGACTTCGAAACACGCATCGCAACTTGTACGTGATGTGGACCACTTTCGAATAACCCCTAAAGGAAGCAAGTGTTTATTTTTTAGTTTTTCTGCCAATCTTCGTGGTTGTGATCGTTGTCGTCGTACAAATTTTTTTTAACGACGACTAACGATGATGCACCTGTCGATGCTGTGATAACGGTCCTTTTGACCCTTCGCCACCTCTTCATTTCTGCACATCACGCAATAGCATGGGTTAGGTTAATCCATGCAATTAAAAAAAAAAAAACAAAACATGAAGAAGATCGGCAAATGCTCAATTAAGTCGTCCTCGGAGCGTTTGTTAATCAAGTATGGGCCCACTAATAGATGACGACGGAAGTATAGCAATAAAAAAAAAAGTCATTTTTGGTCCTTTCTTGCGTTTAAATTAGGAACCACGTTTGCGATTCGCACTCTCCTTTATATATTATCTTTTTTCGAAACGGAAAATATCAATATGCAACCGATTTTATGAATGTTGTTAGAAGAAATTTTAAAGAGTTGGTAGAATATGTATATCCCATCATTAATATTATGCAATCCTGCCCTTTATAACGGAAAAAAAAACCATTACAAAAGATATGCTAATAAGAGTAATACAATAATAATAATAATAATAATAAACAAATAAGAAATTTTTTCAGTCAAAGCGCGTTATATTCTTCCAAGATTTCCAGAAGCAGGAATTTTAAAAGAGAAACATTACAGTTCATAAACTACACGGAGCTATTTTTGTAGACTTATAAAGGGGCTGAAAATATGCGAAAAAAAAGAATATCTAAGAAGAGAAACCCTACAGTTTTTACAGACCACCGAATATATATATTAAAAAAAAAAATCCGAAATCAATAGAGGACGAAGGCGCTATAAGCGGAAAAGTTTTCAAGAAACACGAACATTTCGCGTTTTGTGGTAAAAATTTGTTTATCTTCTATATGGTGTTGTGTAAAACTGTGAAATTTCGTGCGGTCGTAATTCGTTTGGTTATTCCCTCGACCTCATAGGCCTACTACCAACAGGACTTTACCAATTTGTCTGCAAGAATTTCAAATTTCCTCAAACAAAACAACAAAAAAAAAGCGATTTTGTGCGCTGAATTGACATGTGTACAACATATCAGCTTTTGACTTGTGTATTATTTAACTAAAACAACCGAAAACGGTGAATGATTGTAATAAAAAATATAAACATAATTTTGTGTGTTTTCAATAGCCGTAATTTAAAAAAAAAATCACCGGATCCGTTACTTCTTATTATATATAGCCTAAGCTTATCACTGAAATTTGGTTGACCTAACTTTGTTGACTGGGGCAGACTTTCATTTACTGTGGAAGAATAGCCAGGACTTATCTAGTTCTTAAGAAATGAAAGGTAGAAAACACATCGATAGTTCCATTGGTAGCCGCAAGGTGGCATTTATTGCCTTCTACCGAGCATCCCCGTCGATATATCCCTTGGGAAATAGCAACAACAACAATTGGTGATTCCACCAGTCGATGTCGATAAAGAGGATGGAGAGCGGAGGGGGGAGGTAGAACGTGACAGCGAATAAAGGATCATCACTCCCGTTCCTCCTCCTCTCCCCAACAATCCGAAGGTCGATTGGGTGGGATTAAAAGAAGCTTAATTTTTCCTCCCCGCATCTTAATGGTGGTTTCGCGTGTCCAAACAGCTTTCGATTTTCCGGTTTTGTAGAAGTATTTCAGTTATTTTCTTTCTTTTCCCACCCGTGGCGGGCGTGAGATTGGGGTGGACGATGGGAGGGTTTGCGGTGGTGGCTCGACGTCACTCTTATCTTAATGATCCGTCGCTAATTCTTTCTCCTTCCTACGCCATGTTCCGTATTTTTCTCTTTAAATACCTTCGACCTTCCTACCGAGACGTAGCGAATTATCTATTAATTCTTAACCATGGATTAGAAAATTCTACGCCCCAATTCTACAGTTTCAATTACGAATACGCCCTCGATTCCTAAAGGATATAATGTATACCACCCAAAAAGCTCGATCGGAAGAAAATATTTACGAGTTAATTGACTTATATAACAGTGGGAAAAGAATAATTTAATTTAATTTAATTTGCCACAAAGATTTATATGTAATTTTAAAACAAATATTTTACAATAAATCATCCTTGTTCATCGGTTGATATTAAAAAGAGGAGGTTAGTGTTTATAATTAAGACATTACACGGCAGATTCCCATTACTTATATAAATCAGTTAGAGGGTTCATTATTAATACAGTATTACCATTAATTAAAACTTATTATTATTATTATTATTAGAGCGAGAAGGATATAAAGCTGTTTCCTGTTTGTCAATCTGTCCGCTTTCATTATTCGAATACTTGCAATTCGGGTTTTGAGTAGATAATTGACTCCGAAGGACGATTTCTTCTTTCCTTGTTTGCTTCGGCAGCTTTAACTAAAAAAAATATATATATATAATTACTGGACAAAGAACGATGGAATGCTAGCATTAAACACCCAGATTTGTATACAGGAAGATGATTCACTAGATTATAAAAAGTATTTAGCTTTTGTAATGGCTGAAATCATTCTGGATAAGCGGAGTTACTGGTTTAATGAAAGATATCAAAAAATAAATAAGTGATTGCCTTGAAAACTAGTTAGCCGAGTTCATTGATTAACCAGTTTGGAATTATTATTTTTTTCTAATTGGTATTGTATTTAATATGATTAGATTGCAATTATCTTAGCGGCAAATTCTACTCGTTAATATACCGTACCATTCATTCACAATAAAAAAAAAATTTAATGATTAATGAATGTGTTTTTCTAATAGCAACAGGTTAAACTCGATCCTCATATTTTTATTTAACAAAAATATTAGTAAATGCAATAATGATATTAATATTTCGACTGATTTTCTATACACTGAAATGAATGCATATGTTTTAAATATATTCTTTATAAATAGCTGAACAATCTTAAAAAACTTTTGTTGAACGGAGATTCTCTGATACAATATTACATATTTTCTATACCTTATTCCGGTCACGTGACGAAGAAACGAGTGGTGTGGGAGAAGTCGAGGAAATGAAATCTCGGTCGCCATATTCCTTGCTATATAAAGGGGCTAGATGCTTACGGTTGGCAACATTTTTACGAGTTGAGAATAACCGCGTGCATACTAAGTACTTCCTATCATTCACAGATGACGTTGCCTACCCTGTTTTCAAATGGAGATGGCATCCTCTTGTCATTTATTATCTATCTTACCAAAGTTTTCGGAGGTGCTTCGAAAACGATCTATACTTGCACGCATGTAAATATTGTGTATTTCTCTGTGTTCTCACTTTTCTTGACATTCTTCTAATACTAATCGTTTTCTATTATATTAAAGAGATAAAAAAAATTCATATATAATAGATTTTATGATATAAAAGCCTTTACTCACATTAATAAGTATTAATAGAAAATAGGATACTTGATTATCATTTCACATTTTTGAAAATCCACAGAAAGCTACGCCAATAGGTGGAATTAAGAACTAGAAAACAAATCATTTGTATGATGTAAAAGACCATTATAGCAATTGCTTTAGTGTGTGTGGTAATGAAACTGACTTCTACTCGTTTGTCTCACCGCTGCTATCCATCATTGGTAGTAATACCAATCTACTCTTCATTCAATTTGCTTTACTCCTAATAACCATTTCGTGTTTTCTGCCTTCAGGCTATCACCAATCTAACCCAGGAGATAGCCAATCAGGATGCCATCTCTACTTAAAATCTTTCTTGTAGAACATAATCTTAGATAGCATTACTTTAAACTTAAACACTATTGTTAGTATATTTACTCTAAATCAGATCATCGAAGAAATTACCAGAATTAATCACATAAATCAAGTACCCTAGACCTACTTGTTAATTAAAATAGTATGTTTTTATATACCTAAATTTTAAGGAAACTTGTTTTTAATTAAAACGCGTGATAATCCTTATAAATTAAAGCGTTTAAAGGGCAAATAAGAAGTCTTTAAAAGCATATAAATAGAATAAGAACATTTATCAATTTTTCCTCCCTTAATGGTAATTTTTTTTTTACAATAGAGGCGTGTAGATAGGTCTAACTAGAGATTTCTTTCATTAGACTTTTTGAAGCGGGTGAAAGTACATAAATTCTTTCGATATCGAATTCCAGATGTGACTGGATGTTAGAAGAGTGTCTTCTCATACACAGCTGCGAACAAATCGATTTAGTTTTCCGATGATAACACTAACCGTTGTGTTGAGGGTAAGCCCAGTGTCATCGGGGGATTAACGGCCGCAGTTAGATCTCGCACCAAACTCACTACTGGATGTCGCTAGAGACTTTGACCATTGCCAAACGGCTTAGTCTGGCGTTTGGGTTAGTAGATCCAGTAGCCTTAATTAAGGCGGAATCCGTTCACTTCGTTAAGTTTGTCATTTCGGCATTGTCCTGTGGCACGTCTTCAAGATAAATAGACGTCTTGAGGGGTTAGAAAGGTATCGCTAGAGAGTGATAATGATGATACAGTTAGACTAATTTTAGATTATCCTTGAATTTATCAGAGAAAAATTTTACATTCCTTAAAACTTATACATAATTTAAAACACATTAAAAATCTCGAAACGTAATTGTAGACTCATTAACATTCGAAAGTAACTTAAAAAGAGGTTTATGATGTCGACAGTGGTTAATAACGTCACGAAGGGTAGTAGCTTATCGCCCGTATGAATCTTTATGAAAAATTTTCATAGTAGTTGACAATAGTTATATAGGGGATAAACTACATCATCAATTATGTCATATGACTCGGAGTAATGTACCTCAATAATGTATATACTCGAGCTTTTAGTCATGTTACGTTTCCATCGTGATCTCCAGAGTGGCGCCACTCGCAACAATTGGTGGAGTTCAACTAAGCCAAGTTTCAGTAATAAGGAACGAAGGAAGAAGTACTTCATTTGTTTAACTCTCTTTATCCTACAATGCATACTGCGCCTAATCAATGACCCCCGGATGTAGATTGTTAGTAGTCGGAGTGGAGCGACACTAATGAGCGTAAGTTCTAAGTGTGGAGTTATGTCTGTGCAAGCGTTAATAGGGAACTGGGTGTATCCGGTGTTGTCGTCAACTAGAATTTCGATGGTAACGACAAAATAAGTCTTTTGAGCAATTAATAAAAGAGGTTGATATGTTCCAACTTTAGCCCCGAGTGTTTTAGAATTTTATTTTTTAAGTTATTTCAATCCTCTACTTGCAGATAATGTAACAAAAAAAAAAAAAAAATACTTTAACTTTAGCCATGAATATCACAGTCTGAAACACTGTAGCTGAAACTTTTTATGAATCGATTTATATAATAGATTAGAGATAGGGCGAAATAGAAATCATCTTTACTTCGAGTTTTAAAGATGACGATGAAAAAATAGCATTTTTTACTCGAGGAAATTGAAAAACTAGGAAGGCAAATATATGGCTTTTATTAGATGAGTATTTCCTTGACCATATTGATCAAAGGTAGATCATGGAAGAACTATAATTCTAGCATAAGCTCCGGGCAAAGATGTTAGTTCCTCCTATCCAGATAGCCATTGCTAGTGATTTATTTTTGGCTAGACAATGTTGACAGTGAGCTCAGACATCTAATGATGCCCACCAGCGTTGGCAATTGTGTCGAGCGAGATTCGTCACCGTATCCTGATCGTATTTCACTCCCACAGTATGCTATCACTCACCACCGTCTCATCTAATCAGTGGTCGACCTAAGATACCAGATGCCAGAACGTCCTAGGAAGGAAGGTTGCCGGGAGCAGCTACAGCAGATATCATCGATACAACTTCCAGAAAGCGGCGGATATCTCTGTTCCGATAGTTCCAGCAATTAGTTAGACATTTGCTATTGTTCTGCTTTTCCGGGTGCCATCCTGTCGATAAACGGTGATATGGCGACGTTCAGATTCCAATCCTGAATATTTTTTGTAATATTTATCCAAAAAAAAAAAATTTTTCCTCAATTTCTCTAAGATATGATTTCTCTGCGAAAAACAGAACGACTGTATGGGAATTTCTTGGGTAAATACAGAGAAAGAATGTTATTTTTTTCTACGTATTTTTAGAGAAATTTTTTGCATTCTTTCCCCTAAGCAATATATTTCGTCTCAGCTCTTCCAACTGATGCATAAACATATATGAAGATCCTA